ACGCTCTATAACTCGTGTTGTAGTAGGCCTACAATAATAATTTTTCGCTCATTTTGAAGCTACAATTTCGCTCTATCTGTACGTGAAATTTTGCAATTTTTAAACATTTAATACTAGTGCTAGCAGAACTAAGGGTAGCTATGCAACAACGTTGCAACGTTGTTTTAAGTTTATTAAATATAACGTACTCCACAAGCATGCCGGTCACCCAAGTGTACCGGTCACTTTTGCCAAGACCACACCAAACTTCACTCTACTAACAATGCCTCAACGCAGCAACATAAAAAAGCTCTCTAATGAAGCAGACATACAGCTTGCTCTCCAGGCTATCTAACAAGACGCGACGCTCTCTTAGCGACGCGCTGCAGCAATCTACAACGTCTCTCAAAGCACGCTTAGTGACCAACTTGCTAGAGCCACCCCACGCTGCGACTACACACCTAATACTATAAATCTTACAAAGAACAAAGAGGAGGTAATTGTCCAGCACGTGTTGAGGCTAGACGAGCGAGGATACTCGCCCCAGCTTGCTGATGTAGAGGATATGGCCAATTCTCTGCTTGCTGAGCGCCACCAGCCCTACGTTGGCAAGAACTAGGCTGCCAACTTTGTAAAACGTCAGCTAGAGCTTAAAGTTAAATTTAATTACAAGTACAACTATAAGAGAGCTCTGTGTGAGGATCCTAAGGTAATTAGGGACTAGTTCTAACTAGTAGAGAATACTAAAGCTAAGTATAGTATACAAGATAAAGACACCTACAACTTTAACAAATCTAGCTTTATAATAGGTGTTATATTAACAGGAGCTGTTGTTACAGGCTCTAAGCGTCAAGGGAGACCAAAGACAGTGCAGCAGGGCAACTAAGAGTGGACCAGCATCATCCAAGGCATCTGCGCGAAGGGCTAGTCTATCCCACCCTTCATTATCTTCTCTAGCAAGCACCACCTCTCTTCCTAGTATAAGGAGCCTAGTATACCTAACAACTAGGTTCTTAATGTCTCTAACAACAGCTAGACTAACAACAAGCTTAGAGTTAAGTGGTTGAAGCACTTTAATGAGCACACAAAGGCGCGCACTGTTGGCAGCTATCAGCTGCTCATTCTAGACAGCCATGAGAGCCACAACTCAGTCGAATTCCACCAGTACTGCGAGGAACACAAGATTATTACCCTGTGTATGCCTCCACACTCGTCGCACCTACTACAGCCACTTGACATAGGCTGTTTTTCTCTGTTGAAGAAGGCCTATAGCCGCCAAGCTGAGCGGCTAATGCGCAGCAAGATTACGCGTATCACTAAACTTGAGTTCTTGCCGTGCTTCAAAGCAGCTTTTAACGCCTCAATCACAGAGAGTAACATCTAGGGAGGATTTAGAGGTGCTGGCCTAGTCCTACTTGACCTAGAGGCTGTGCTATCAAAGCTTGAAGTACGGCTGCGCACACTAACGCCACCTACTGTAGACAACAGTACGTGGGAGTCTAAAACACTAAGCAACACCCTAGAATTTAGGTCTTAATCAAAGCTAATTTGAGAGAGGATTTAGAGACACGCTGATAGCTTACCAACGTCTATAGTTGACGCTCTTAATTAGCTTACTAAAGGCGCAGAGCTGATAGCGCATTCACTAGTTTTAGTGCGTAACTAGGTTGCTGACCTACAGGCAGCCAACGAGGCCGCCACACGTCGTAAATCACATAAAAGGAAGCAAGTACAGCGAGAAGGGACTCTAACCTTTGCTAAGGGAGTGTGGCTAACTACTCTAAAGGAGTTTGAGGCCCGTAGTGATGGGAAGAAGGCAAAGAAGAGGTCACGCGTTGATGGGAGCACTCAGTCTTTAAGGCGCTGTGGCACATGTGGCGAGACAGGGCACAACAGAACAACTTGTAAGAAAGATGCGTAAAGTACTATAGATTAGTACAATATACTGTGTAGTATAGTAGAATGCTGCTGTGTACTAAGGTACTGCAAAGTAGTTATAGTGTTGGTGTGGTCTTAGCAAAAGTGACCGGTACACTTGGGTGACCGGCATGCTTGTGGAGTACGTTACTCTATATTAATAGTATCAGCGTTGCATGTGCGCGAGTTGTGCCCAGTCTCTTTACACCTAGTGCAGCGCCTTTGAGCGCGCTGGCTGAGGCCTGATCGCGCTCCTCCTTGACGCTCTTCATGAGCAATCTGCTGGTCAGCCTCATTTTGAGCCAGTATATCCTCTCCAGCTCCCTTTGTAAGTACTCCATGCTTCTGTATACGCCTTTTAGAGCGCCGCCTACGCGCTGAGGCTG